GTATTTTGCGGTCACGCTGATGTTTTATTTTTCCTTTTGCCATTTTTAGATTCTGTTGTGGCTCTTCCTTTTCCGTTTAAGTCTGCTGGAGGTTTAAATGGGATCCTTAAAGGATCAAACCTCCAATCTCCTGAAGACTGAGGGAGGAGGAGCAATCCGGGTGGAAAACAGAGGGGCTGTGTCCTGGACACAGGGGATGGCTTCTGCTCACTGCCCCGCACCTTCAGCTCCCCTTCTGCTCACTGCCCTGCACCTTCAGCTCCCGAGAGGAGGGCTGGTGGTGTCAGCCTGGCCCTGGCTGGCTCCTGACTGTTGAAAGGAATACTTCCATAAGCACAGGCTTTCATTTCTAGGCAATCATTCCAGGGAGCAGTTACCAAGGCCTTCCTATGCTCCCCATATGGGTGCCCTGTGCCCACAAAACAAACACGGGCACAAGAGTCCTGTCTCCCCTCAGAGACAGACAGGTCAACAAGTGCCCATGGCTCCTCTTCATGAGACAGAGTTCTTTCCAAGAAAGTCAGGACAGAAAAGAGTTAACACAGTGCCTGGGCAGTGAAAGATGAATCGGAGACCTGGAGAAGGGGCATCTCAGATCCCAGATGATGGGTGCAGGGGTGGCCAGCTTCGGACTCCCCGCCAGGCCCCCCACACCTTCTGGGTTTACCAGGGCCTCCTGATGTCTGTGCCCATGTCTTTCGTGTTCTGACAGCCTAGGGCCCACATTCACTCTTCTTCCCCTGGCTTGTGTCTTTATAATATGCCAGCAGCTCTCAGTCTGGGAAAGGGGACCATCCCAGACAACTAGGAACCCGGCAAGAGTGTAGACACACTTGTAAGGACCAGCTGTGTCCACATAGCCATGATCCCCATCCTCTCCTTGGCTGCACAGTGAGGACAGATGCAGTGCAAAGAGGTCTACGCCAGGCCTCGTGTGAACATCCCCTTGGAATACTCATGGGCTCCAGGGGAGGGAGCATGTTGAGGTTTGCAGGACAGATCTGTGTTGTTCAGATCCCTTCAGTGACAGAGTGGGAGTGGCCTCTGTGTTCATTTTGTGGACACTGTCGAGACACTTGCAACCTATCCAGGTATGTCAGGGCTCTCCTTCACACAGGTATCCATCCACAGCCTGTTCCCCCCAAAACCCACAAAAATGTTCCTAAGATTGTTGACACCCATTCCAGCCCCAAACATGCACAATCCTTCTCAGGCTAAGAAACCATATTGCTTGTGCTTCATTTGCAGTTTTATTAAAGTCACCCAAGAAAAGATACAATCTCTTTTGGTTTGCTTTCATTAAACCACTGTATTGAAGTATGATTAACATACAAAATCTGCAGCATCCAATGTCTACAACCAAAACAGTTGGGAAATTCGTCTACACCATGAAATCATCACCCCAACCAAGGCCATACATTTATTGCCTGCAAAAGTGTCCTCCGACATCCATAACTCTAGTTAATTCAATTTTTTCTTTTTGTGGTAAGAGCATTGTCTACCCTCTAGCACAAGTGTACAATACAGTGTTTTTAGCTTTAGGCTCCATGTTGTACAGCAGCTCTTCCAAAACTATTCATCCTGCATAACTTTTTGCGCTTTTACCAACATCTTTTCATCTCACCTCCCCCAGCCCTGGTAACCACCACTCTGCTTTCTTCTTCTGTGACCTTAACTATTTTGGATTCCTCATAAAAGTGGAGTCATGCAGCATTTGTCCTGTGTCTGGCTTATGTCATTTACCATATTGTCCTCCAGGCCCATACTTATTGGGGCAAATCTCCTTCTTTTATATGGTTCAGTAATTTTGCGTAAGATACGACCTGTTTGGGTGGAGTTCTGACACCTGGCTGCTTTTCACATGTGATCATATCAAATTGCTTATCCGTGGCCAATGACACATCCCAACCTGCTGTTGTCTTATCAGGACTGAGTTGTCTGGTGGGGAACAGTGTAACTGTGAGCCTGGAACCTTGTCTGGAAAGACAGGCGTGCTTGTCTGGTCGGGAACAGGAAGAGCAGGCCCCTGGGGAGAGCACTAGCTGTGAGCACACAGCAGGCTCTGCTGAATGTGGGAAACCTGAGGATGGGGAGGACTGGGACAGATTTAAGAGCTTCCGCTTATGAGGAAGGACACCAGCTCCCACGACCTCTGAAGAAGACAGGCTGTCAGATTCAAAGCAGACTTCTCTCCTTCCAGAAGCACCATCTGGTCACTGATACCTGGGGTCTGTAAACCACTTTTCTTTATCACCAGGCATGAAGTTTTGACCCTTTCCCTGGTGCAGTGTGGCCCCAGAAACCCTTCTCAAGCACCCACCCTATGCCCTTACAGTTGAATCACTTCTCCATGTGATTGGCTGCATCCAAGCCAAGGGACTCACTCTAACTGCGCTACTCAAAGTGTGGTCCAGAGACCAAGAACATCTCAATCCCCTGGTTTCTGGTTAAAAAGCAAACTCTCTAGGCCTTTCCAGACCTACTGGGTCCGAATCCTGGGATAGAGACAAGCCCAGGGACCTGGGTATCCACAGGCCTTCAGGAGATCATGGTACCCTTCGGAGTTCACAAGAAGATGCACACAGATGCTGGAGGCCTATTTCATGGCACAGAGCTGAAGCTTGTCTGCAGAGAGAATGTTATTTAATCGTCCCAGAGCTGCATTTGCTGTTCCAGCTGGAGACAGTGACTGTCCCTTCTCTAGATACTGCACACAGCAAATTGTGCCCTCTGAGCTGTGACAACTGTGGCCACGAGAGGGCACCAATGGTCACCGAATGGCTACAGCTCACGGATCCGTGGAGCTCCTTTAGTTCACTCTTGTCTCTTTCTGTTTCTCTTTCACTCCACTCTTCCTCTAGAAATAAATTCCTCAAAGCAAACTATAGCGCAGTGCACGTCAGTGGCCACCACCTGCAGACACCTTTGGAGAGAGGGCGTTTACTCATCCAGCCAGGCCCTCAGGCTTTGCTCGTGGAAGCATGTCCATAAGCTGAGAAGCTGTGCAAAGAGTGAAGCGGCGAGCTCAGCTGGATCCTCCAGCATCCCCAGCGAGGCCGCAGCCCCAGGAACCAGTGAGCCAAGTCTGTTTCCGAAGCCAAAGGGGGTCTGAGGAGCCAGTGGGACAAGGAAGGACTGGGACCCATGAAAGCCTCAAGCCCCTTCTCCACATTTCTAATAAATACATACTCGTCCCTGGGCAGGTTGCCTTCTATCGCCCACAAAGCTGGTTCCGGGAAACCCATCCTCCTGGCTCTGCCCCGCCTTGTCTTGCTGGCCTTCACTCCACTGCTGTGTCTGGGGATCGCCTTCTGTTTCTACCTCCTGCACTCGTGTCTTCATTTCAGCATCTGGTTCTGGGGCAAGCAAGTGTCCCCACGGGGGCACTGAGGGAGTGCTGTGGCTGGGACTCAGCTGCAGGGGACCTCTTCTCCTATCACTGATCTCTCCCAACCCACCCTGCCTGGGCCTTGTTCCTCTGTCCTGGACAGGAGACTATTTTAACTGCTTTGTTTGGATTTTTTTGTTGTTCTTTTTTTAATTTTATTTTTGTTTAAAATATTACAGATGTCCCTCTTTCTCCCCAATGACCCATTCCACCCCATCCGTAACTGCTTTGGATGGAGGAGGCAGGGCCATAGGCATGTTTATTCTTCTTGATGTCATCCTTGAGAGGTGAGTAATACACTCCCAACGTGACTGTGGAATGGCCCGTTTGCCAGGTAACAGCACCGATGATTCTGTTGGCTCTTCTAGCTCCATGTGTTGTCTGGATGCGGGTTCATAGGTATCAGAGCTTCTTGTTGAGTTATTTCCCTTATTATCACATACCCTGCAATTGTATTGCTATAGATGCTTTCAGCTCTCGATCCAACCATGTTCCCAGTGTGCTGATCCTGGACCTCCCAACTGTGGGGGCAGGTGGCGCACCTAGTGTCAGGGCAGGGTGGGGGTGGATGGGTACTGCCCAAAGACCAAATCCAACCTCTGCCTGTCTATACATATAAGTCTTTTTTTTTTTTTTTTTTAAATGTTTTTATTGATTTCAGAGAGAAGAAGGGAGAGGGAGAGAGAGATAGAAATACCAATGATGAGAGAGTCATTATTGACTGGCTGCCTCCTGCATGCCCCTTACTGGGGATCAAGCCCACAACCCAGGCATGTGCCTTGACTGGGAATCGAACCATGACCTCCAGATTCATGGGGCCGACGCTCAACCACTGAACCACAAGGGCCAGGCTATCCAAATAAAGTCTTGTTGGAGGAAGAGCACCCCTGTTTGTGTCCACATTGCCTATGGTGCTTTCCAGACGCAAGGTAACATTAGGAGTTAAGAAGACCACATGGCTCACAAAAGCCCAAGAGGCACTCCTCTTGACAGAAAAAGTTTGCCAAATCCTGTTCTAGGCAATTTGGGCAGAATCTCACTAGCATCTGGGACCACAGTACCTCTCAACCTTTAACTGTCCATGGGTTCCCTAAGAATGTGTAAAAGGCAGACTCCTTGTCCGAAGGTCCAGGCCCTGAGAACATGCATTCCTGGGACTTCTAAGAGCTGGTGCCTTGCTTGCTCTTTGAGGGAGGCTAGAAGCCCCTCCCACATTGTCCCAGCTGCCATGGACCAGGGCCTGTGTGGCCACGTGTGTCCTGAGGGGCCTGATGCGCTGTATTTGTGCCACCTGGAGCTGGCGTAGGAGGTGCAAGAGGGAGAAAGGACCACCCTTTTGGGCCACCACACCGCCCTGCTGGTATGACTCCAGCAACGGCCCACCCCCTTCAGCCAGGAACCACGCTACGCAGCGCCTCTTGAAATGCTGATGTTTAATGGACTGTTCTACACGAAAAACATGGACAGTGAGGAATTTCTACAACGCCCACGTGTGGGACTCCAGATATTTGCAAGGCAGAGAATAGAGTTCAGAGCTGCTCAGCCACCGTAGGGCCCCTACGGAGAGCTGCTGGGGTCCGAGGGGGGTAGAGAGGTTGGGCTGGAGTGGGAGTCACTTGGTGACCCCCTTACGGCACTTCTTGTTTAGGAGCTGGAACAGCGTCCTCCAGGGCTCGGTGCTGACGGTGAAGAAGCAGGTGAAGGTCTGAGGGAACGAGCACAGGAGTGAGCGTGGGGAGCTGCAGACAGCGCCCATCCCAAAGGCGCACCTGCAAGGTGAGCGGCTGGGGATGCAGGCTCCGGCCCTCAGGCGCAGCCCCAACCTAAGTCTTGGGTGTTCCTGATCTCCTAGCCCCAGGGTCTCCTGTGTCACTCTGCTCTTCCCGGGCCTGTGGTCCCCAAGAAAACCCCTAGGCTGTCCCAGTGTGACCCAGGCCCCTAGGACAGCAAAACATGTCCTTCTCAGTGGGCCTTATCTCAAGTAGCCCTGACCTGAGGTGGGCTTGTCCTAGAGCAGGGGTCCCCTCTCCCTTACCCCCAAGCAGGAACCACAGCTCCTCAGGGCTGGGGGCAGAGCATGGGACACAGGGCAGCTGGCTCCCCTCACTCAAACCCCCATCAGGCTCTGCTTAGTGACGGGGACCTGAGAACTGACCCCTCGGTCATAGGTGATGTTGGCCACCCCTGACATGTTCCTCCCCCCTGAAGGCAGGAAAGGGAAGTGGCCACAGAGCAGGAAGAGCACATCTTGTGGTCAGAACCAGGAGACCCAGACCTCAGGGACAGGAATGATCTGTCACCAGTATGGCCCAAGGTTGAGACAACTGAATGGGGCAAGTGGGCAGTCGGGATCCCAGATTGGCCAGGGGCCTCCCAGTGGATGCCGGGGCTTACCTGACAGTCTGGGCTCCGTATTTAGCACAAGCAGTGGTTATAGCATGGCCAGCAGGTCCCTCACTCACCTGTGTCCCCAGAAATGGCAGGTCCTCTGCCCCACCCCCCATTCTCCTCCTGCGCAGGACCACAGCTGTGGAACCTGAAGGAGGCGCACGTGAGTCTTACATTGTTCGGCTCTGAGCTTTCTTGAAAGGGGCAGTTGTCAATGTCATCCTCAAATTTGCCACACTTGGTCCTGCGAAGCTCCAACTCCATGGAGAAAGCTATCATGTTTTCTGCCTGTGGTACGGATAGACGTTAAAGGGGAAACATCCCTCATGATCCCATTGTGTAGCTGCTAGCTTAGACACACAGAGTGTAGGAACAGACCCAAACAGTCCTCTGTATGGGGCTTCCTTCTGGGTCTGGATCAGCTCCCTTGGGTTAAAGCCACGCTTGGGATGTTCTGGGCAAAGAGGCACATAGCCCAGTGGCAGCCCTGGGGTAGAAGCAAGGCTATCACACACTATTAATATCACACACTGCAGTCTCACATTTGCAAGTGCCACAGGGAGACCCCACCTTCCTTTTCAGCGTGCTTCTAGTTTCTACAGCATCCCCAGGGACAGGTGACAAGTGGCTGGGAGGGTGTTGGCTCTGCAAGAATTTGCTTGATAAGTTTTACCCCGGAGTAGGAGACTCATCTATACCCCCATAGTCACACCCTTCACCTGCCCAAGATCAGAAAAATGCCATACAATGCTAGTGAAACACACACACACACACACACACATACTGAGATGATGGCTTCAAGGACCAACTTCTATTACAAAGTGCACTGTGAAATGTGCTGAACTCCTCCGCTCCAGCCTCCTCTTTTTAACCCATATCTTCCCACTGCATCCCACCCATTATCCCTGACGCCCAAACTCAGGCTGTGACTCTAGATATAAAAATCCCAGCCAGAGGTCAGCCTGAGAGAGCCCAGCGTGCCTGACCCAGTGGGGATGTAACACACCAGTGTCCACAGAGGGTTAAGCTCGGCCGAGGGTGGAGACCCTCTGCCCTTGGTGTGGGCTCTCGGTGCAGAGGTCCAGAAGGCGAGAGAGTAATGCCCCTGACACCACACGCGCGGGCACGCGGGCACACACACACATGCAGGCACACAACCAGAAATGCTTCCCTGTTCGTGTCTGCAGCCCAAATGAAAAGGGCATTGCCGGTTGCATTCTGAAAGAGATTCCATGGGAGGAGAACCTTTGAGGATTAAAAACCATTATCTGGAAAGAGTGTAAGATCCCATCAACCCACATAGGTGGATACCACTGCAGGGAGCCCAGAGCTCATGGAAGTCACAGCAGAGGCCCTGACTTCCCAGGGGGACCTCTGCTTGAGGGGAGAACTCACTGCTCCTGATCCTCAACCCTACACTCCCTCCCCTCCCCTCTCTCTGTTTCTCTCTCTCTAATTATCTTTTTAAATTTTATTTCCCTGAAATATTTCTTCACCCTATCTTTTCAAACATTTTCTCTGTGCATCTCTTTCTTGCTGGATACTTTTATCTCCCCATAGGCTATATTTTGAGGTCATTCTTCATGAAACAATATCATAAAGACTGAAAAATATACATTGTATGTGAGTAGACATTGCTCTGATTTTTTAAATTTCTANAAAATAGGCTATATTTTGAGGTCATTCTTCATGAAACAATATCATAAAGACTGNTTTTATCTCCCCATAGGCTATATTTTGAGGTCATTCTTCATGAAACAATATCATAAAGACTGAAAAATATACATTGTATGTGAGTAGACATTGCTCTGATTTTTTAAATTTCTATGCAAAAACTTTTATAAAGTCTGAAACTAAATAGGTTGTATTTTTATTTTATTTTATAAACTTCAAATGGCATACAGGATCCTTTGATGTGTCCCCGTGCTTTACCCTGACTTAATACAAGTGAAGGCCAGAGGGGCACAAAGATGTGGTTGCCTACCTGCTCCATCCAGGATTTCAGGATGCGCACCAGCCTGTAGGCATTCCTGTCCTTGTTCCTCATGTTGAATGTGTGTAAGGCATACTCCACAGTGGCAGGGAGATAGCTATCCATGACTTTTTGGTTATCACTCCTTGATTCTTGAGAAGTCGAGCTGGGAGCCACTAGGAGCTGGGAACCTACAAAGAGCAGGAACATGGCCCAGGGCAGAGCACACCTCCCTTGCTGGCACAGCAGAGCTGCGAGCAACCAGCCACCCATGGCCCTTCCGGCTCAGACTCCCACCCGAGCCTACCCTACCCGGGCAGTGGCCCATTTTATCTAATCCAGGACATATCCTTCCCGTGGGCCTCCTCTCTGCTATTATGTCCTGTCCCCTCCCACATGTGACCCTGCCTCCTCCATCCAAAGCAGTTAAAATTGTTTCCTGTCCAGGACAGAGGAATAAGGCTCAGGCAGGGTGGGTTGGGAGAGATCAGTGATAGGAGAAGAGGTCCCCTGCAGCTGAGTCCCAGCCACAGCACTCCCTCAGTGCCCCCGTGGGGAGAGAAGACTTCACTTGCTTGCCCCAGAACCAGATGCTGTAATGAAGACACAAGTGCAAGAGGTAGAAACGGAAGGCGATCCCCAGACACAGCAGTGGAGTGAAGGTCAGCAAGACAAGGCGGGGCAGAGCCAGGAGGATGGGTTTCCCGGAGCCAGCTTTGTGGGCGATAGAAGGCAACCTGTAACGGAGCTCTGGGAAAGGGCCCCAAACATCTGCCTGAGAATCACCAGCTGAGTTGTGGCCACCTGGGGGCCTCAGGGTGAAGGCTGGAGTTGGTCAGTTTTTCTCATTGTTTGGGGCCTAATGCACTGGCACACCAGCCTCATGCCAGGAGATGTGAGGGGGAAGTTAAAGTTAGCCAGTGGTGATAGAATGGGGCACCCACAAAACCTGATAGAGACAGGATGTAGAGGTTTGGGCAGAGCCAGTAGTAGTCCTAAGCCAGGGCAGGATCTAGGCATGGGACCAGCTGACTCGGTGGACTGGACATCTGACCCTTCAAACCAGGACAAAGGTCTGGGAATCATCAAGGACACAAGACGAAGCCAAACCACTTTCGGGACCCTACAGAATAAGAAGGGAAAGATCAAGAGGAACCATGGCCTACAAAGGAGGTTGCGGACCTGCCCAGGAGCACGGAGGCCGCGTGGGCCTGTATGCACCTCTGGTGTGGTCCAGGCCGGGAGCTGAGACATCCGAGTGAGGACTGCAATGCAGGGCTACCATCAGAGCTGCCCTATCTGCTTCCCAAGGGTGTGCCAACCAAGATTCTTAGGGGAGCGTGGCTCAGTCACACTCAGTGAGCCCCCAGTTTTCTATGTGAACCCCTTCTCTGACTCAGAGTTCAAACCTCATACATAATGTTCAGCAACGTACTAAGTGCATACAATTCAATGCAAAGAGAGGGGTAGGCATCACCACGTGCTTTACCCAACTGACGACCTAACTCCTGGTCCATGTTTACTTATTTATTTTAATAAATCTTTATTGATTTCAGAGAGGGGAAGGGAGAGGGAGAGAGAGAGAGAAACATCAATGATGAGAGAGTCATTGATCGGCTGCCTCCTGCGCACTCCCTACGGGGATGAGGCCAAAAGCCAGGCATGTGCCCTGACCGGGAATCAAACCGCGATCTCCTGGATCCTAGNACGGGGATGAGGCCAAAAGCCAGGCATGTGCCCTGACTGGGAATCAAACCGCGATCTCCTGGATCCTAGGTTGACGCTCAACCACTGAGCCACGTTGCCGGGGCCCTGGTCCATATTTAAATTCTGCTGTTGAGACACTCAGCCTGGGCTTTAGGCAGGAACACTAACCAGCAGCTTGCAGAACTGGGACCTGCTGCACAGCTTGCTGTCCAGCCTCAGAGAACTCAGCCCCTGCGAGCGCTTGATTTTCGGGAAGGCAGAGCTCTAGCAGAAGACACCTCGAGGTCTCCTGGAGCTTTGTTCTGCTTCTTTCATTATCTATCTCTTTTGTTGTCCAAGTATCTTCTCATCTCTCCTCTTCCTGTATTTCTCCCCCAGTCTTATCCACATCACTGTGTCCTCAGCATTTCCCTCTTTCCATCTTTTTCCTTTCTCTTCTCAGTTCTCGTATGAATTTTTCACTAACAGGCTTTAATGGACATCTAAAACTTTGTAAAATATTTACTTTACTACCTTAACCTATTTTCTTTTTGTAGACTATGCAGTGGCTTAGTGATCTGTCCACAAAGGCTTCCATTCAAGAGGTAGAGCCTAAATTTTTGTGTATTTTCCCCCCATTTGTGTTGGTCGGGCTCAGTAACTGGCTTCTAACTAATAAATAAAGTGTAAGTGACACTGTACAGCTTCAAGGACTGGCTCATAAAAGGCCCTGTGGCTTTCTGCTTCCCTTTGGCCCCTGCTCTCTCTTGGATCCCTTGCTTTGGGTTTAGCCAGCTGCCCTGTGGAGCGGGCCTATGGGGAGACCCAGTCCACGTGTGCTCTGAAAACAACTGGTGAGGAAATGAGGCCTCCAGCCTTGGGGGTGAGCCTCTTCAAAGTGGATCTTCCAGCCCCATCAAGCCATCAGGTGACTGCAGTCCCAGCTAATATCTTGACCACAACTTCATAAAAGACCCCAACAAAACCCACCTGGATTTCCAAACCACAGATAGCAAAAGGTTATTTCAAGCCAGAAAGAATATTCCTTCTAAATTACATAATCTAGATCCATTGACAGTTATAGATATCCATCCCAGTTATTTATTTTGTATAACAAGTAATCCCAAAGTGTATGTACTCAAACCTCGAATTGATTAAAGAGGTTTGTACTTAATTACACAGAGACGTGGTTGAAACTGCGATCCAAAGCTACCCCTTCCCTTGAGTTATAAAGGTGCCTTCTTCAGAGCCCATAGCAACTGACGTTTTCCCCCAAGTAGCCCGATGTCCTTGCATGTCCTGTGCCCCAGCCTCCCCAGCACGCTCAGATAAGACCTGGGGATACTTTGACTTTCATTTTCTCACTTATCTCAGCCAGAGAGAGGATCTCCTTTATTCTGAAGAACTGACATATCAGTTTGCTCTTTTCTTATTTCTAGCACAGCTACACATTCTTTATGTGCTGAGGAAAAAGAATGATTAAAAATAACAATTTCTATGGACTATTTTATAATATAATGGACAACAGGTCTTGTGGGCAGAGAAGAGAGCAAGAAAGACAGAGGCCCAGGTTCGGATGCCTGCATCCTTGCCAGGCCCAGGCCAGCCTTGATTGCACTGCGAGCCTTTGAAATCTGGAGGCTACCTGAGCAGCCCACAGTCCCTACGTTGTCCCCACCCTGCACAAACATCTCACCTTAGTCTGGACAACCACTCGAGACCAAAGTTTAAATTCCTACCCTGGGGTAACATATGACACTCCGAGACCTCAGGGTGTCATCCCCAACATTCTCAGGGGTGGATTCCCAGGCCTGGGGCAGCAGGAGATAAGAGCCGCTTGTGACGGTTATCAAATGTTCTGCATCCGTATCTCGTGTTCTGTTCTGTGGCCACTTTCCCATCTGCCAGGGAACATTTAGACATTTTCCTTGGCTTCCCAGGGGTCAGGGTCATGGCACAGCCCTGGGGCTCAAGAAATACAGAATCAAACACAAAGTAACAATGAGATGGACAGCTCCAGGGGGCCTTTGCCGATGCCCAACCATTCCCAAGGGGACAAAGGAAGGGGAGGGGGCTGGAGCAGGGGCAGGAGACCAGCCCTGCTGTCAGCAGTCCTTGCCCTGCCTGCTCCTCAGCACAGCTTCACACATCCCAAATTTTCAGGTTGCTTCCTAAGCTCACACCACCCCCTCAGGTCCTGGTACAGCCCGTGGGATGAGAACTCTGGTTTCCCCCTGCCCCGCCCCCGTGACCACCCAGCCTGGAAAAGAAACACATCCTGCTTGAAAGATCCCGCTCCCCCCGCCAAAAAAAATTTTTTTTTCATGATCTAAGAGGGGAAAAAGGAATTGATGGCAAAGCCAATGCTTCTGTCACCCATGTGTCATCTAAGAAGCACCATCTCCCAGGAGGAGGGTTGGAGGCCCTACTTCTAGTGGGCTGCTGGTCCTTTGGGTGGCCAAGGTCGCAGGCTTTAGTGAGTCTTCAAACCTTGGGAGAATGAGCCCAGACTGAGTTGTCTCAGAATCCAAACACTCACGTGTTCAAATTCCCTCCATTATCACATCAAACACCGGCAACCATGAGCAAATAAACAATCTCATTAGTCAGTTGAGCTGTCTCCATCCTGACTCACTGTGTCAGAAGGGCCCAGAAGGTTCTGAAGAGTTAAACCTGAAGCGGTGCACTGCTGACCTCAGGTGTGGACCATAAAGTGTGGTTGGCCCCACATGCTTGCACTAGGTATTACTGGTAGGAGGAAAATGACCCGCCCGGGGTGTGTGGACGACTCAGGTCCCTCCAGGCGTGTAACCTCACTGTAGAGCTCAGAGAAGAAAGACCTTCTGAGGGGCTGCTCATGGGCCCAGGTGGGACCTGCCAGCTCTAGGAGCAAGTGCTCAGCAGCACAGGCTGTGCTCCCACAGCGGTTGGGGCTTAAGAGCAGAGGTGGGTGGAGAGGACGGGGCTGCAGGTGCTGCAGGGAGCATCCCTTTCTGGAGGTGGGAGAAGCAACATGACAAAATCTACTTGTCCGGTGTCTCCAGAACTCTGTGAGCACACCGAGGAGGGGGGGGCACAGGCATGCCTTTCCCACTGGCTGAGATGAGGGAGGTGCAGATGAAGTATGCCCGGCTGCCTGGCCTTACCCAGGCCAGCCCCCAGGCTGCCTCAGCTGGCTACTCCTTGGGCTGGCTACCCGGGCTCCACCATGAGGCTGTTTCCTTCAGAAGCTGACATGGAGACCAAAATTCAGGTGCAAGTGTTCTATTTGGAGGTGATCCCAGAAAACACCAGAAGGGTTCATGGGGAAGTGGATTGGAAGCAGCATGTAGCAGTGAGCAGAATCCCAATGTCAGCAGGCTCCATCTTGCTGGGCTCCTCCCAAAGACCGGGCAGAACAAGTTTTGGTGTTATCTTCTGGGGCATCAGAAGGCTAAGATATTTATCCTACAACTTCAGCCACTGGCTCAGATCTCGCAGGGGCATTACCTCCTCAGCACTCTAGCCTGCCCCTTATAGCTGAAGAGGAAACCCTTAGACAAAGAGGCGCAGGTGCTTGCCATGGGTCCTGCCAAGAAAGAACTCATAGGGAGTTTTACCTGTCAGCCAGGTGGCCTCTGAGCCTCACCACCTCTCACATGTCTAAGTTAGAACAGGCTCCTGCGTTATTATTGTCATTCCCCTGCTGATCTTGATCTGCATACCAGTGCTACAGTTCCACATTCAAGTCTCCGAAAGTGCCTCTTTCTGGTCACGTTAACCTCCTTCATGATCTCAGACCACTCCGACACACACACACACACACACACACACACAAGAAAAAAGGCCATGGAAAAGCAAAAAGCCCACAAAAATGAAGTCATTGGGTCAGCTGTGTTATTTGAATGTTTCGCAAGTGCCTTTGCTTCTTTAACTGAAAGTGAGAGTAGTAGAATGTACTAGAAGATAATTAGACATCTTTGCATTGATTCTTCAACATAGTGAGTTCAAACACCCAGGGTTTGGTTGCAATGATAAAGGTGCAAAGAAACATCTAAAAGAGACAAAAAGAATAATCAGCTTTAAGAAAGAAAATTGAAGAAAGGTATTTTTTAAAGTTCCTACTTTAAGGCGTGAGGATTTGACTTCGGGAATACTAAGAGGTGGTCTGAGCCAGCCATACCCCATCAGCCTCAGAGCTGTTGACCTGAGACTTGACTGCAGAGGAGCCGGCCTCACTCACCAGGATGGGCTCCTGCCAATTCACTTCCTGGTACCTGTTTGCCCCAGGATGGCCCAGGAGCTGGCTATCCTTAGAAACCCTGCTTCCAGCTCTGGTTTTCACCTAGTAGGGCCAACTTCCCTGCAGCCCATGAAGACCCCATGCTGCATGGAGGGCCCAGTGGGTCCTTCCCAGGGGAGGCAACGCAAGAATAGTACAGGGTCCTGCATGCCCTGGGGAGGGGATGGGGGTCAGAGCTTGGACAGATACCACCAAGAAAGCTTCCACTCTGGGAGCTGGGAGGAGACGCATAGCGCTCTTTTCAGGGCCCGTAGAATGAGCAGGGCTTCAGGCTCACCATGTGGGATGCGTGAACTTGTGTCCCTCCTCTCCCCTAAAAATGTTATTCAGTTAGAATTAAAACAAAGTAGGGATACCTCCATTACATCAATGGAAATGTATATGGCAGCATCAAGTAGAACTAAAGTTGCATAAAATACAAAGACTGGGGGAAAGCAGAAGGCTGAACATATAAGACTAGAGTGGGCGTGTGAGGCCATTGGGCTAGGAGTCTTGGAACCGACCCAAAGCTTCCAGGCCTTTGTACAACAGCCGAACTATTGGAACCAGCCAAGGAAAGCTCGCTATGGCATTACCAGCTGAGAGCAGTAACAAGCCTGTGCGGTTAGTCAGGCCATGCTTTCTACTGGGTAAGCCCCCTCTGGCAGACAGTCCACAAGGATGGCTGCCATCGATTCCTTTCCTGCTAGTAAATGCGTGACTCTCTGCCCGTGGAGAGGGGAGTCTGAGCTCTCTTCTTGAACCAGGGCTCACCCCATGACTTAATTTGTCCAAAAGAATGTGATGGGACATTCTGGGACTTCCAAGCCAAGGCCTCAGGAGGACTGGTGGCACTTCTGCTCCCTCCTTTCGAAGTGCAAATCCCTAGAAACCTCTATGCTGTGAGGAAGCCCAAGTGTAGGATGATATTTTATCCCAGTTTTCCCAGGTTGTCCCTGGTTTCAGCACTGAAAGCCCCACATCCTAGGAAACCCCTTAGTGCTGGACAAACCAGGGTAACTGGTCACCCTGCAAGTTTGCCCCATGGAGAGGCCCTGAGCAGAGTGAGAGGGAAAGATGGCAGCCAGCCCCCAACTGTTTCGGCTGTCCGAGCTGAGACCACCAGACGTGTAAGTAGAGCAGATGTCTGGAACGTTCTTACCGCAGCACACAACACAGGGATCAGAGCCCAGCCCAGACTGCAGAAGAATGAAAAATAATGCTCCGGTGTTGCTTTAGGCCACTGTGCGTGTGTGTGTGTGTGTGTGTGTGTGTGTGTGTGTGTGTGTGTGTGTGTGTGTGTGTGTCAGAATATGGTTTAGAAAAGGAAACTTGAAAATCAAAGCAGGGCTGGGTCTACCCATCTTATCCGCCCGGGACACAAGCCTAACCACGGCAGCCACTCCCGTCTCAGCCACGAACCTTTTTCATTTGGGGATCCTGTTGGAATGGGCAGTTTACGTTTTCCTCTGAAGTTCTCTTGCACACTGTTCGGGCAATTTGGACTTGGAGAAAGTAGTCCAAACCATCTGTGACCTGTCAATGAATAATTTAAAACTTAGATGTCATAATAGCAGTCTCTGATAAATAAACATGCCTATGTAGGGTCAATGACCCTCTCCTATAGTTCCCTTGCCAGAAGTGTTGGAGTAAGTGGGGAGGAGGGTCCATACTTTGATCTCTCTCCCTCTCTCTCTCTCTCTCTCCCCCCCCTCTTTCTCTCTCTCTCTCATTATGGTATTTAATTTTAAAGTAACAACAACTGTCTCAAGATAAAGCAAGAAAACTGTTCTCCATAGAACTTTATTGGAGTTTGGGAAGAAAACAGCAGAGGTTATAGCATCTTCATGCCTAGTCAATAGAAAAGACATCCCAGAACTGAAATATACTTAGAGCGTATTGCTTCTCTCCAAAGCCTCCCATGCTTTGGCAATTTGAACAATACATACCTATTCCATGTGATACACCCTCCAAATTTCCTGACTTCCAGAGCACCTCCCTCATCTGTGCCAAGCCCACCATGCACTCTACTCAGGGGTGCCTTGTGGGGACATGGAGCCGCACAGCGGTAAATGTGGGCTTTAATGATCAAAAAATGAACAAGAAAACAAGTTTTACAAGATTTAGGGGAGAGAATATATGAACGAGAATGGCCAAGGTAAACATAGTAACTGATCCCAGAAGAATAAGTGATAATTCAGAAAATATAGCAAACATTTTAGAAATTCTGGACAAATTTCCTGGGCTTTGAACTAAATGGATGTGGCAGGCAGAATTCTAAGTGTGATTTCATGAGTACCTTTAAGTTTTCAGTATGAACTGCCTAGTTGACCTCCTGTCCTGACCACATTAGAAAATGGGAAGGTAGGCCGGCAGTGTGTAGAATATATCTGGAAGGACAGAGCACACTGCTCCTGATGGTGCCCCCAAGAATGAGTCAGATTGAAAATGCAAGCAATGAGTGTTCACTTTCATGTTTTAACTCAACAACTTCCAAGCGTATGTACTCCTAGAACTTTCTTATAGCCAGCTATCGAGCTTCTCAGCCTCAGCACCACTGACCTTGGGCTGGCTCCCTCTTTTGTGCGCTGCAGGGTGTGTAGCAGCAGGGTCCCTGGCCTCCACCCACTGGATGTGAACAGATGGCCCTTCCACTGTGATGACCACGAATGTCTCCAGGTATTGCCAAAGTCCCCTGCCAAGCAAAATCCATACCCAGCTGGTACCCACTGCTTCATACTTGAGGGATATTTCCAAATCATAAAAGGGACTGATTTAAATCAGATCCAATAGCCACCACCGGCCACCAGCCCTGCCTTGACCCCCTTGTACAATATCACAGCACAATCATCTTTCTCAGGAAATCCTACATTGTCCCAATGCTCACGGCCACCATATAATTCCTATTCAAATTCCTCTAATTGCCCTAATAACGGTCTTTCTAATTTTTTTAAATCCAAGAGATAATACAAGATCATACATTACATTTATTGTTATGTTTAAGTCTCTTTTAATCCAAATCAGGTTCCCAGTTTTTTCCTCTGTCTTTCATGACAGTGCCCTTTTTTTAAAAAAAAATTCTTAAATATTTTAAAAAATATTTTTATTGCTTTTTAGAGAGACAGGAAGGGAGAGGGAGAGAGAAAGAGAAATATCAATGGGAGAGCAGAACATCAATCGGCTGCCCCCAGCAGGCCGTCCACTGGGGATCAAGCCACGCCCCAGGCAAGTGCCCCAACCAGGAATCAAACCAGCACGGCCACCACCCCGCTCACTCACCCCCGCCCCCAGCGCATGGGATAACACCCAACCACTGAGCCACACCAGCAAGGGCGACACTGATGTTCCTAAGTGATATTATGGAATGCCCCACAATATGGATCTGTTGGATTGTTCCTCGTGACTACGGTCGGGGTATGCTTTTTTGTGATGTTGTGTCCTTTCAGTGATATCACATCAGGGGCACATGTCCATTTTTCCCAGTGTTCGGTGTCCACCAGAAAGTCTATCTTTTCTCCATTGTGATTAATTAAATAATCCCTGCAGAAATCTGTTCTCCAGCTCTGTCTCACCCAATGGTTATAAAATTTATTGATGATCTTTGCCTGAGTTAGTTATTACCATGGTGGTTGCAAAGGGTGACTTTTTAGTTACATATTCTTTGACATCTATAAGTAGCATTCTCCTGTAAAGAAAAGCCTTCCCTTCTCTGCCCTGATTCTCTTTATCAGTGAAAGCTGGATTTGTAGTTTCTTTGCTTATTTATTGTATAATAATTTATCCCTGTCTTCACTCATTTTGATGATATTAGCCCAAATTTTCCCAAATAGATCCCAGGGTGATTACTAATGAGCCCTTTCTAGTTTGGCTTATTAGTAACCACCCTGGGATCTATTTATTGAATATTAGTGAGTCTTCCCAAACCCTGTAATAAGAATTGTACATGTTTTATTCCACATGTACATTATAGCAACATGTTTTATGATGTAGTATAATCAATTTTAAGTTATTTTAATGGATATTTTCTATTTCGTCTCAGAATAATGAAGGATCAATTACAATTAATTTTCTTTCCAAAACCCCCAAAATAAAATTAATTTGTTTGGCTAAACGCATCTCTGAGCTGTTTTCTACTCCCTGGTCTTGGCGTCACAAATAATGGCCCCACCACGACCACAGATGTGCAGAGAACCGAGGAGCCAACCCCACCAACCTGCTCCTGGGACTTCAGGACCTTCTCCACCTTGAAGCTGTAGGCGTCTCTGCTGGCCTTGTTATACTCCTTCATGGCGAACCACAGCGCCTGCTGCACGTACACGTAGTTTTCCGGGATGTCTTCGAATTCTCTCACTACCTTTGGCGTGCCCCAGGCATGCGCAGCTCTGGACACAAGGACCATGCTGGCCACCAGGAGCAGGAGGCTTGGGTAGAGTCTGGCCATGGCACCTCGGCCAAGGGAGCGCAGGCTGAGCTTCTCCTGTCCTTCCAATGTTGGGGCACTAAGCAGACTGGACTAGCCCTGGTGCGTCTACCCCCCCAGCTCCTCTTGACACTGCTGTGGGTGAGAAGGAAAGAATCTCTGTAAACATTGTTTTTTTGTGGGTTCTCTCTCCTTCCCCGAAGAGGAGCCATGTGAGAAATCTGCAGTCACAACTCAGTCCATTTTCCCACTTTGGCTCTTTTCTTTCTGGGAGGATGCATGCATCTACACACTCACACAGGGAAGTACACCACACATAAGTGCAAGCGTGCGTGCACACACACAGACACACACACACATTTCTTCCCTGACAGAAGACCCCTGTTGCCTTGTCTGCAAGGTCCCTGTGTATCCAGTGAAGATGCGTAACTGCATCAAGTCTGTGTGAACCAGTGGGCGCGGGCACCTGCAGCAGATGCACTGCCACAGGGAGATGACAGGTCTCAAAACTTCTCTTACGCCCAGCCAGCGTGGCTCAGCAGTTGAGCATCGACCTATAATCCAGGAGATCGGGGTTCAATTCCTGGTCAGGGCATTTGCCTGGGTTTTGGGCTCCATCCCCAGTAGGGGGTGTGCAGGAGGCAGCCGATCAATGACTCATCTTTGATGTTTCTCTCTCTCTTCCTTTCCCTTCCTCTCTCTGAAATCAATATATATATATATTTAAAAACTTTTCTTATTTCCATTCCAGGAGTATATATGAAAGTCTTGGTACAGCCTCAAAACTATGCCCTGCATCTCACCTCTTTCTAGTCTGGCTCATTAGTAATCACCCTGGGATCTATTTATTGAATATTGGTGAGTCTTGCCAAACCCTGTAATAAGAATTGTACATGTTTTAGTCCATTTAATCATTGCCATTCCCCATGGGGCCTTTTACACTGAGGAAAATGAGACTTACAAAGAAGTCAAGCCAACGCCTTGGCCACTTGACAAAGCGAGAGCTTGACTTCACTGCTTGCCCTGACCTGAGCCTGTACACCCACTCGACCTGACACACGCGTGTGTACAGACCACAGCTGGTAATGCACATGTGCTCTTGAGGAGACTCAGTGCTACTGTATAAGCTAAATCAGGATGTAGGTGGTGAGACAGGCAGAACAATTAAGAGTAGACGATGACTGAGCAGCAAGCAGGCAGAATCCAGCTGTGCTCGTTACAGACCAGTGGTAAGTGCCTCATGCCTGAGTTGAACATAGAAGGTGACCCTGAAATTCATCAGCTATTAAGTACATGTGCGATACACACAGCAGACAATACTCAGAAGATCTTCACTTACTGCCCACCGGTGATCATTCTGGCCCCATGTGTCTTCTCCCCAGAAAACTTAAACCAAATGCTGGGATGCTCAGAAGGCCACCCCACATGCCCAGCTGTGCAAGGGCAAGGCAGACTCGCCTGGAGAAGGCGCTGCAGCAGGGAGCGTGGCCGGCCCAGGTTCCCCCCTGCCCCACGTGCCGCGTGTCTGTCGCTGGTTAACCTGCTCCTTCTGATGGCCTTGTTCCTTGGTCAGTGGTTTACACTGATTTGTTACACGTGCGATTCGAGCAGCAAACTTTGGCCTATGAGCCTTTCTGCTCTGTGGTGTCTGGAATAAGCGGCCTGGGGCATACTTGGAGGCCACCCTGGTATTTCTGTCATCTCCTACCCAGTACAGCTGTACCCACCTCAGAACCAAGCCCTTCACCAGTTTCCTTCTTGCTGAGCCTTGAGCTGGACACCCTGGCCCGCAGGTGATATCTTTCTCCTTTCTGGGGACTTGAGCTCTGATCAGCTCCAACCTCATGGGCCACTCTGGGTCCCCAGGACACTCAGTTCATGCCTGTGCTTGGTCAGGGTGTTGGTGGGTCCTAAGCTCAGGGCTGCCCCTGCCCTCTGGCTATATACCCCAGCCAGGTGGTCTCATCTATGGCTCCTTTGTGAGGTAAACCTAGCCCCTCTGATGCAGCTCAAGTGAGCAGCACCTCTGGCAGGGGTCCCTCACCCTTCAGTTCACAGGCTCACCAAGAGCCACTAGTGTCTGTCCCCAGTGCAGAGCTTCCTGACCTTCTATATTTCCGGACTTTAGACTAAACTATTGGGAGCAGAAAGCACCTCCACAGCCATTTCTGTCATGCTCCTGCTATGGGATTTCATGATCTTAGAGACAGGAAGAGGCACCAAATAGCCAGTCTCAGGGAACCTGGGACTGAGAGGCCCTAGGGAGGAGAAGTCCTTGGTGGTGCCTGGGTCAAGGAACTGCGGGCCTATGGCTGGCAGAAGCTGTCACCTGAAGTTCTTTGACTAATCTCTCCTCACCCACTCTGCCCCCCACCTCTGCCTTCCCTCTGAGATCTGTCCGTCTGTTCCATGCTTCTATGTCTCTGGATCTGTTTTGTTCTTCAGTTTATTTTGTTCATTATATTCCACATATGAGTGAGATCATGTGATACTTGTCTTTCTCTGACTGGCTTATATCACTTAGCAGGTCCCTCCATGCTGTCCCAAAGGGTAAGAGAGCCTTCTTCTTTACAGCTGCATAGTATTCCACGGTGTAAATGTCCCACAGCTTTTTTATCCACTCACCTGCTGATGGGCACTTGGGCTGTTTCCAGATCTTAGCTATTGTAAATTGTGCTGCTATGAACATAGGGGAGCATATATTCTTTCTGATTGGTGTTTCAGGTTTCTTAGGATATATTCCTAGAAGTGGGATCACTGAAATACCACCCAGAAGGTGTCAGATGGCATCGCCCATGCTGGCATGTTGTCAAGGTCCACCCACGCTGTAGCATACATTGCTATTTCACTTCCTCTTTTTGCCGAGCAATGTTCCACTGTGTGTATGACATACTTCACTTATCCATTCATCAATCTGTGGACATTTGGGTTGTTTTCACTCTTTGGCTATTATGAATAATGCTGCTATGAACATTTGTGTTCAAGCTTTTGTGTGGACATATGTTTTTATTTCTGTTGAGCATATCCCTAACGCGGAGTTATTGGCTTACATGTAACTCTGTTTAACTTTTTGAAGAACTGCTAAATGGTTTTCCAAAGTGGCTGCACCATTTTACACTCCCATCAGCAGTGTATAGGGTTCCAATTTCTCTGCCTCCTTGACAACATTGGTTATCATCTGTCTTTTCGATAGCCATCCTAGTGGGTGTGAAGTGACAAGTGGTAAGAATTTGACAGATGTGACACAGAAAAATTTAATTTCCATAATATTAAAGCGCTATGGCAAGTAATTATTTTTGTAAAAAGACAAAAACCCAAGAAGTAACTTGTATAAAAGTCAAAAATACACAAATCACAGGAAAAAAAAATAAATGTCTCTAATATACATGTAAAAATATGCTTAACCCTCTCAACAATAAAAATTCAAAGTAACCCAACAATGAAATGTCACTATTCACCTACACATTGGAAAAAATGAAATACAATAACAATAACGTCTTATTACAATGATTAAGCAATCTCTGTTGAACATTTGAAAGTTACATATTCCTTAACACGATATTCTGCGTCTAAGATTGTATACCACAGAAATATTTGCCTATGTGTACAAAATTGACTGAAAAATTATTTACTGCAACAAAATTTCTAATAGTAAAACAAGGAAATTAGTCCAAATATGTATCAAAGTAGACTATTAAATAAGATGTATAATATCCATGAAATGAGATTTTAGAAATCAACAAAGATATGTGCCTAAAAAAAGCTATCTGCTCTATATAAATGTCAAAAGCAAGTTATAAAATACTAAGCAGAGAAAGATCTTGATTTGTTAACAAAAAAGATAATTGTTTATTAAACTCAAAAGAAAATCTGGCGATTCTGAGCCATTCACAGGCTTGTGCCTGTCCTCGAGGCCTTCAAGGGGAGGTATCTATGCCACCTGGTTGTTCTGTCCACTTTTGTTCTATTTTAAGGCACATGTATAATTTGGGGTGCATTTGGGTCCACAATTATTACATCTTCAGAATCAATCAATCCTTATGGCATTAAGTAGTGGCTTTATTTAGGTTTCAAGAGATATTTTCTCAGTCCTACTGTGTGGCCAGCAGTGCTCTAAATAAGGTGGTCAAGCTGGGCTCTGCAGCTTGGAAGCCACCTTAGCCCTTCATCATCATATGGGGTCTCCAGGTGAAGAATCATATAAAAAGAAATTGCCTTTTCTCCTCTCTTATAGGATATATACCAGTTATTTCATTTTCTTGACTCACTGAGTTTTCCAGTATGTTCCAGACCAATGTCCTTTCTAGTTCCTGAGACCTATTTTCATCTATCTAGTCACATATTTCTTGCTCATTTGTTTTATAGTTATAAACATTATATTGCTGGGTGTTGGGTCCTTAACAATATGAAATTACCCTGTCATTGAGTGAGAGAATTTAATCCGCTCACATTTTTCTGACCACTGATCCGAACACTTCTATTGCATAACAGCTCATTTGTTTTCTTTACTTTTAATCATGAATTTAATCAGTTCTTCATCATAGTTAATTTTATTCGTTTTACACATCAATAAATATAACTTATAAGGAATTTGAAATGGGAGATGATCCTGGATTACCCAGGCAAGTCCAGAGTAAACAGGGGGGGTTCTTGCGAGGGAAAGGGGAGGCAAGAGGATGCGAGAAGATGTGGCAGAAGACAGGGGAGAGAGACTGACGGGAGGGTGCCATGTTGCTGAGTTTGAAGACCTGAGAAAGGACCACGCAGGATGCAGTCGGCCTCTAAAGACTGCGAAGGACAAAGACATTGATTCTCCCCTACGCCCTCAGGAGGGAATAAAGTCCTGCCAGCCCACTTTAGATTTCTGACCCGCAGACTGTAAGACAGTAAACACAAGCTCTTTTAAGCCAAAAAGAAAGAAATACAACTTTGCATCTGCTTTGTTTCACCACTATTGTTATCAATAACTTTAGCCTCTATCCAAACAACAAACATTTAGAAAGGTTTCGCTTATCCTGCTCACCCATCATTCTTACCAAGTCTGACAGCTTTTGTGGAAATCATGATTACTTTTTATAAGTAATTTAAATGGCTGACACATTCGTGGTGATGATATTGGTTTCAATTTTGTTGCCGGTCCCTTGGGTAGCTGCTGCATTTGGGTTGAGCTGAGCGTTGTCTTGTATATTCAGGAGGCCTTTATATATTCTGATTTGACTTTGTCTTTTAGACTGTCCCTTCTCAGCAAGGGACGCTCTTTCTGGCCGGAGAGCTCCCTCTGGGTGCTGAGCAGTGGGGGATGGGGTGATGTGTGTGTGGGGGGGGGTGATTAAGTGGCCCTCCTTCCCTTTGTGTGTGGTTACTGTCCTGGTTTTTGTTTCCATGTACTGCTGAAGTTCCTTAAGTGGTGTCTGAGCTCCTCGGAGCTGTGTCTGTCTTGCCGTCGATCTTCGTGGGAGAATGGATCCCAGGGTCTCCGGTAATGCTGTCTTGGAGACATCACTCTGTAATTTTTTCTTGATAGTTGGACATAATGTACCACCATGAACTGTGGTAAATAACCCCTCAGGGATGTGGTGGTGAAGTTTTGGGGAGAGGAAGCTTTCTTTGGTCCTATGATTAGGCCTCAGGCTTTTACTGAGCCTGTGCCTCTGGGCTGTGAACTTCACAAGTGTTTCAGGTTTTCACCTGCCCCTCCTTAGGCAGGAGAAGGTGGCTAGAGACAGGGCTGGGTGTTTCCCTTCCCCAGATCAGTTAGGCTCTGATTATAACGCAGAAGTTCAGGCTTTAGAAACAAAGTGGCTTCATTATTTTATTCACCTCACACTGCGTTCCTCACTTTATATTTCCTACTGGATCCATCAGCTACTGACAGAGACTTTTCCCACTCTATTCGTGGTATTGTCATTTCCATAGTATTTGGATTATGTGCCATTTTATTTGTATTTTTTGCTATCTTAGAATCTGTTTTCTAGGAAGGAATTCTTCTAATGTTCTTTGCTTAAATTTTATTATGCTTGAAATTAATATTTATCTCTTGCTTTCTTAAATTAGCAGTTGTATGGTTATATCTTTGTCCATCTACAAATTTTCAACATGTCATTATTAGTTTATGATATATGTGTCTCTTAACAAATATCCTATGAGTTTGATAATCTTATAAAATCCAAATGTCTCCATATTATCAGTTTATAAAATCCAACTACATTTTTGCTTTCTTAATTTGTTCCTATTGGTCATGCTTTATTTCCTGGTTTGGGCTTGGGTGAATTGTCATTCCTTCGGATTTCCCTTTCATGGTTTTGTGAGTGCTACCAATTTTTCTCTTCTAACACTTGCTGTTAAAGTTTATAAGCTATGTATTTACTCTATTTGCTCTGATCTTTTTTCCAATGCATAAATCAGTATCTGCCCCTGACTCTTTTGGAGACACTAGAAATGCCTCTACCAAGTTTCCTCTCCTAGAGTACACATGGGAAATGACTCTATATCCACCCCCACAGCCTCCAATTCCAGCAGGCCCCTGAGGGCCATGCAGTCCTGACATTTTCCCAGGTCATAGTGAGCATATTAGGGGTAGGTTCAGTGGTGAAGAAGCCACAAGTAAGAACTGGCACAGCTGGTACAGGACTCATGTCTTCTGAGACCAGGAACAGGCAGCACTCTCTGCAAAGCCTGCCTGACTCTTCGCAGGTCCAAGGCCCTGAGCTCCTTGCTGCTGTCCATGTGGTCCCCACAGAGCCCACTGCTGGTATTGGCAGGCCACTGCCTCTGACCTCATTTCCTACTCCACAGCCCAGGGCAAGAGCTAAATGGATTCCTTATTTTCACACACAGCATAGCCATGGGTAACACCAGGTGGAAAGTCCACGTGTCCCTGAAAAGATAGGGCCAGGACACGGGAACCGCCTGTACTAGTCCTGAGCCTTGGCAACATTAGAGGACACACAGCTTATCAGTCATGCCCCATTTCCTTGATCTCTGTGGCCTCCCATGACCTCAGTGTTCTTTTGTCCCAAACTGAAACAGACAGTGCTTGAGATCCAGGGCCCACAGGTAGGGGCTTCAGGAGAATCTAGCAGAGACTGCAAATGTTATTGCTACCAGAGAGCTGTCTGAGTCAGAGGGGGTTGGTCTATCCCCTCCTCGGCTCTTATCATGGTCATGGGAAAGAATTCAGACAAGTGACAAAAAGTAGTGTTGAAGCAAAGCAAGTGAATTTATTAAGAATACACTTAGCATAAAGCACAAGTGAGCAACTCAGTCAGTCTGAGCACACCACCTGGTGGGAGTTTAAGGGTTTTATACTTTTTTCCCCTATAGGTTTCAAGGTTCCCCTGACAGATAGGATAGATTTTAATGTCCCCCTTTTACATTGCTGTGGCTTTTCCCAGAATTTAAGAGAACATCTGGCAATTTTATCTTGGCAAGTCCCAAGACTGTTGACTTATTTGTTCAGAGGGTGAGATAAACTCCCCTTTTTCCCCTTCTCTTCCTCCTGCCCTAGCAGCTATCTTTCCTGCCTAACATTCCCCATCAAGTGATACCATCCAAATGCTTCTGGGCTTTTGTTGTTTGTTCCCCAACTTCATCTGTCCTTGGGTTTAGCTGACACAAATGGCATTAATTGGGTCTCTGTTCTCTATTTTCCCAGGCCAAGGAGATTTAAGCTATGTATTCTCTGGTTAGGAAGAAGGGTATGAACCATTTACTCTCAAGTGTCCTTGTTTGGGTAAGATAAGGTCTTGCAGTTCACAAGCTGGCTGAAAGCTGTCCAAACTGCTTGGCCTTGTTTCATTTTCTTGTTTCAGTTTCCTCATTCCACTTGCCCAGGAATTTTCCTAGCTTCTTCCTATCCTGCCACACTATCTTGGGGGGCTGTCCTCTTCCCTTCTCCTCTGCAGGGAAAGTGTCTGTGTGTGTGTGTGTGAGAGAGAGAAAGAGACAGAGAGAGAGACAGAGAGAAAGAGGGAGAGAGAGAGAGAGAGAGAGAGGACAAGCACTCCTGTAACTTAATGAAATAGACATGAAATCCAGCAAGAGGGAAGTGAGGCCTGCCTTGCATTTTACTTCAATCTTTTAACTTAATTTAATTTAAAACAATCTTTTACTTTTTTGTTGTTTGTTTTATTTTTTCCCCTATTCTTAATGATTATCTTCTTCAAGAGATTTCTATCTTCTGCTGTCATGGACATTTGCTTACTTCCATTCTCCATTCCCCTCTACACACACACACACACACACACACACACACACACACACACACATGCACGCGTGCACACAGGTACCCTCCGTGGGACAGGTGGGAATAATACAGCTTACTCTCAAGACTTGACTGCCTTCTTTGCCTCTCTCTCTTTCTATCCATTGTTGATATTTACATAAGAAAAAACATACAACTTTCCACAAATCACAGAGGCCCCCCAGGGGAGGATTGCTTCTGCCAGGGGGTCTCCCAGCACAAGTGATCCATTCACTCGGGTCCCTGGGGGGGCGGGGGAGAAGGAGGAGGTAAGGAGCCCCAGGCCAAATGAGGCTTCCAAGAGGAACATGCTGAGTTAGCACCCACTGGGTTAATACCTCTGTAAGGGGCTGTTATCTAATCAAAAAGTGATTCCTCCTCAGACTTGCAATGGGAGGCAGAATTAGACCTCACCCCATCCTTTGAAGTTAGTGGCAAAGGTATTCCTGGTGGTGGGTCATCAGGCTGGCTAAAGGCAAGGGGGCCCCTGAGGCCAGGAAGGAGGAATCGGACATGCCCATCTTTTGTTATCGCCTAATATGAAACTAGAAGACAAAAGAGCAAGCAGAGGCCTGAAGAAAGCATGTTGCTAACAGCTCTTTTCACAGGGAAAGGCAGAGACAGTTGGGCATGCTCCAGTACTCCCTAGGTATCTGCACACTGCATCTTCATCACGGTGAATTCGCCGTTCCAGGGCAGCGCTCCAACTATAAAGTTGCATGTTATCTCCTGAAAAAGACCACCACCACAAAAAGATCAGTAGTGTGCCCAAAGAAAAAGAAAAAATTATCCGGTTGCTAGGTATCAGCTTAGAAATATGCTAGAAGATCGCCAACATCCATCAAGAAATGTTCCCAGGACCCACCTGCACGGCTCAGTGGTTTGAGCGCCAACCCATCACCTGGACGTCACGGTTCATTCCCGGTCAGGGCACATGCCTGGGTGTGGGGGCTAGATCTCCAGTGTGGGGCATGCAGGAGGCAGCCCATCAATGATCCTTTCTCATCATTGATGTTTCTATCTCTCTCTCCCTCTCTCTTCCTCTCTCTGAAATCAATACAAACATATTTTTTTTAAAAAGGAGAGAAGAGTTGGTTGGATTTCTTTGGCAGTTTGAATTTCCCACAGTGCCTAGCAGTATCACCAAGGAACTTCAAAATGGCATTAAGACATCCTTACTGCTTAAATGTTTGCCCTAGTAAATAGAACAAAAATCCTTTTAAAAAATACTAGTGCCCTGGCCTGGTGGCTCAGTTGGAACATCACCCTGGACACTGAAAAGGTCGAGGTTCAATTCCAGGCACATACAGGAGGCAGTCAATCCATGTTTCTCTCTCACATACATATGTGTGTCTCTCTCCCCCCTCTTCCTCTCTCTAAAACCAATAAACAGGATTAAAAATACTAGCAAGTTAAACAATTACTGCTAGCTAGAGGCTGCAGACTTTTACAGCCCTAATGCAGTGCTTCCCAGACTTCCTCAGTGGTATGAAGTATATGTGAGGTGTCTGGAAATTCTGATTCAATAAGCTTAGGATGAAGCGCTGGAGCTAGTCTGCATGTGTGTATGTGCTTCTACCTTATCTGCCAAAGATTCTTAATATTAGGAAAGTTGGAGAGTACTTAATATCTATAAAAGCAAAAGTCCTAAATAAAGAGGTGGAATATTGAATCTAAGAGATGAGTTAAGACACAATCCCTCACCCTTGTTCTTTCCAGCCTGGGGCTGGCAGAAGGGCTACAAGGAAAGGTGACAAGAAGGAGAAGCTGCCTGTCATTGACGTGGTGGTGACTAAGGATACACCATCAATGTCCACAAGCACACCTGCGGAGTGGCCTTCAAGGGGTGCACTGAGAGAGCTGGAAATTTGCAGTGAAAGAGACAGAAATGCCAGGTGTGCCCATCAACACCAGGCTTGGCAAAGCTGTCAGTCAAAGGAATAAGAAATGTCTCCTACCCTATCTGTGTGGTTATCCAGAAAATGTATATATATATATAGGTTGTCTATGTACCTGTCACCATTTTCAAAATCCTACTGTCAATCAATGAAGAGGAGAACGAATAATTAAATAAAGTTATAAAACCACAAAAAAAGAAGTGTCCAGACTTGTAAGATGAGTCAAGACTAGGGAATGTTATTTTAGTTTACTACACCAATTGTTCAAAGAGAAAAGTTATTCAGTATACTTGGTAGATGCTGGAAAGGGTGATTGATAGAAGAAAATGTCCCCAATTTACAAAATAACACTTGTAAAGAGGGAATTGGAGGAACTTCAAGAAGTAGCACTTACATAATATTTAATAACAGAACATAAATCCTGAAACATCCTCATTAGATGGGGAAGAACAGTTGCTTGGCATTATTACCCCCCGCCCCCTGCATTATTCCAGAGGCCTGGAGAAAAAGAGAAAATTTTCAGTGTTGATAAATATGTGCTTAAAACATACACTGTAGAACCAAGATTGTCCGTGGAAACCTTATATACAAAAAGTGAGCTCCTTGAGGAAAAATCTCCTTAATTCTCTCTAGTATTTTCTACAAACAGGTAAAAAGCAACAACTTCCAATATAACTCCAATGAGCCCAGTATAAAATATATATTTAAACCGACCATAATTCTACTAACAGTAAAATATTTTTTAAAAAACTAACATAACAGATCAGATGGCATTATGACATGCTCACTGTTTAAACGTTTGTCCTGATGGGTATCTACTATTCACTGGAAAGGATTGAACTTGTTTGGTTTGAGTGCCCGGAGGTAGTTCCAGGCATGACAGGAGTGTGCTTTGTTAACAGGCCTTGGCAATCTCCTGCACTCAACGCCAGAAGCAGCAGCATCGCTTGGGAACTTGTCAAGAATGCAGATCCTTGGACCCCATTCCAGACCCATGAATCAGAAACTGTGCAGGTGGGAAGCAGCCATCTGGGTTTACCAAAGCCTTCAGGGAATTCGCATGCCCACTAGTGTGGAGAAGCAGTGGTATAAAGAAAGAGACAAAGACACACCTCCTAGGCATAATTCAGGGGCCTTCACCAGGCTCAGGCTGAGCACTGGATAAATCCTCTGAAATGAAAGATACAGGGTTGAGACCAAAGGCCCCTGGGCCAAGTCAGCCCTTTGGTGGGTGTTATTGAACCTTCATGGAAATTGCGGCTGAGCCTGGCAAGAACCAGCTGTAAGTCTGGGATAGGGACACTGTCTGGCCTAGTCACTGTTTAATCTCCAACACCCAGAATAGCAGCTGGTGCAAGTAAGCTTCAATGAGTAGATGAGTGAACGAACAAATGTCCTTTTGTGTCTTCACAAGGATGAGCAACTGTTGGGCCAGCAACAGCTGAGTTGCTCATCCAGGCCCGAGAGAGCAGACTTTCAGTAAATACGCATTGGCAAGTGTCCCTGCACCAAGAGGCCAGAGTTGCTGGAGCCCTTGCGATAAGAGTGACCTTGAGAGCATGCTGTCCCTAGGATGAGGGGTGGGGAAAGGCTCGGAGAGGTCTCCCACATTCCGCTGCCCCACACTCTCTGCTCCAAAAGCCGCAGAGCTGACCACTTCTGGGGCTAACTATTGGGAGGGATCCAGACCTCAAAGAGAGTCTGGGCACCCCAAGTTCTTCTGGCTGGGGCTCAGAGTAGCCAACACCATCACAGACAGTTGGTTTGTCACTTACCTTTTTCAGTTTGCTGTTTCCTTGAACGACACAGTTTTCAGAATTTTTTGCAAGTTTTCTGCAATCGCTGCGGGCAATTTTGACAACCATAAAGTATTCCAAACGGTCTGTGACCTGCCAATTAGCAAGTATAATGATTGTGCAATTTTATTCAAAAAGTTGTATTTTACCTCTGAGAAGTTTTAGCAAACACTAAAAAAATTGCTGTCACTTTCACTCTCCCTCCCTATCTGTTGCCCTGTCTTTCTCCGGTGACGTCCGCTGCCTGGATTCCTTTGCACACTGATACCACCTTATGCAGCCCCATGGAGCTGGACACTCAGGGAAAAGGCTTCTTTCCAGTGTGGGGCCTCCTGGAAGGCAAGACCTTCTGTTTTCTGTCCCAAAGTCCAAGGCATGTAGCATGCTCAGTGAAGGGCTGGGCGAAGAAACTGAAGGCACCAGAACCACGAACTCCTCTGGGCCCTAGATGTTACATATTCATGTGGGCCCGACAGGCAGACAGACAATTCAGCCACACTGGACATCCTCCCTGATTCTTT